GGTCAACCCGGGCCCGCTGAAGTGTGTGATGCGCTGACCGAAGAGGGACGCTCTTTCGGTGCATCGTGCTGCAGATGTCGGTTTTGCTAGGCTCTGTCTGTGTACTGCCAAGCGTGCTGTCATCTAGAAGATGACAGCAGCAGGGTGTTGTGCGGGTTGTGTTGTAACATGGCTATACAAGTCAGTTTTATTCCTATACGTTCTTAAATCTGTGTTTGATTTCACAAGAAGTATTTGTCCCTTCATGGTGATTGAGTATCTTCATATACTGAAGGGAAGCGTGAAGAACCGTGAGGGCTGATTGTCATTATACAGAAAATGACCACAGAGAACCCCCGTCGCCTCAAGAAAGTGTTTCTGTTTTAAGAGATGACAATACAAATATTTTGAACCAATAAACTCTGCTGCAACCTTTTTATTCTGAACATTTCATGTTTGTGCTGGAATTGATTTGAAAGTGAAATTAATGAACAGCAAATATGATTGGTTTTATTATCTCTACTTAAAAATGCAAAATCTAGACAAATGGTATGATGAACGATAGAACGAAAAATAATTGTTATAGTCTTGGGATGTCAGTTCCATCTCATAGGGATGGAAATAGAAATGTCTAAAGAAGGTCCAGCCCAATATTGAATGTCAGTGTAGCATATAGTAGCATCCTGAAAACAACATGATTGTGTTAGCAAAGTTTTGGGCACACGCTACTCCTCTGGTTGGTTTATACCAAGCCTGTTTGACAGGATTTATTAGCATGGGGAGTGGGTCTGGTAAATCTAGAGTAGAGCAACCCCACACTAGTAAATTTGCAGGGAGATGCCTTCTGATATCCAGTTACTACTGTAATCAGCATAAACCAAGATAATACTACGTTACCCTCAGGAGAGCCAGTGCTGTTCAGCTGTTTGCTGCCGAGCTTCTCCCCTTTGTTCAGTTATAGCTGTGGAATAAGTTGGATCAGCTCACAGGTACAACCTAGAGCAGGCATGCATGACTGGACTGAAAGAGAAGGCAGATCAGGCTCTTGTGGCAGCACTGGGCAGTTAGGTCTGCCTAAGCTAAACAAAGCTAGTGTTATCTACTCCAACATCTCGATGCTCTATATCCTTGGGGATACCCATGTCGTCCTTATTCGTAGATGGCTTTTGAAAAATGTGACTTTACCAAACAATGCTTAACTAAGCTATCCATACAGGCTAATATTCACAGATATATGAAAAGTTATTTTCTGTCTTTTTTTTTTTTTTAAAGTCTTGGTTTGTACTAGAGGAGGTCATACACAATGTGTTTAAGACTGATACTTTTAAAATAGGCTCCAAGTATGAGATTCGTGAGAGAAGCAGAAGACTAATCAATACTTAGAAGTTTAACAGTGTCTCTAAGATCCTTTTTTTCCATGGTCACCTTTGATTGCTAAATTAATTCTGCCTGTCCTAACATAATTCTCAATCATACTGGGCAACAGCACTATCCAAACTACATTGAAAGAGAACTCTGCATTTAAATTTAGAAGTTTTTGCTTTACATCTTCATTTTGTTATTAGCATTTTCTTTTTCAAAAGTGTTACAATTTGAGCCTGATTTTCTGTTTTATTAAATTCTGCTACTTGCAGTGGGGTCTTTTTGAGACTATTAGCAGCTAGTAAATTTGCTTTTTCTCCTTGTGACCAGTTTACAAGGCAATTTGCAGCATTAAAATGACCAGCCTTGCACACACAATGTAATGGAGTATCCTTGCTGCTGTCTAAGGCATTAATGGCTGCTCCATGGCTCAGTAATAGATTTACCAAGTCGCTGTGTCCATATTCTGCTGCAATATGCAGTGCAGTCTTTCTCCAAATGTTTCTATCATCAATATTTTTATTTTTCCCTGATGTCAGAAGAATTTTTACGGTCTCTGTGTTTCCTTTGATAGCTGCATAGTGCATTGGAGTACATCCATCCATGTCCTTAGCTCCAAATCTTCCTTTTTTAGCTAACAGAACTTTCACAATACTGAGATGTCCTCTCACAGCTGCAATGTGCAGGGGAGTCTTTTTCTCCTTGTCTTGTGCGTTGGGGTCAGCATTAGCATTCAGAAGCATCTCTACCATTGTTTTGTCTCCCCTTTCAGTAGCAAAATGTAGGGGTGATTTTGACTGCTTATCCTTAACATTAACATTGGCTTTGTGGTGCAAAAGCTGTTGCGCAACGTCAGTGTTACCTCTTTGACTTGCTATATGCAGGGGAGTAACAAACTCTTTAGTGACAGCGTTAATTTTGGCCCCAGCATTAACTAAAAGGCCAACTAATGCTCCTTTATTATGAAGTGCAGCAACATGGAGCGGAGTTTCATCAGCTTGGTTCATAAGGTTAACTTCCATCCCTTTGTGCAGAAGCACATTTGCAATGGAAGCAGCCCCGGCTTGAACTGCCAAGTGCAAAGCTGTGTCTGAAGCAGGAGTCTTTATTCCAAAGTTTGCTCCCTTTTCGATTAGAACTTCTGCTGATTCAGCTTTCCCCATTTCACACGCCAGGAGTAGAGGAGTATACTGCATTTCATTGTAGGCGTTTATATCTGTACCTCTGTCAATTAAAGCTGCTACAATACCATGCAGATTTTTCTGTACAGCTTTAAAAAGCTGATTCCATTATGTCAGACGACAAATCTCTGGAATATTCTAGTAGTATTTTGAAGATGGATGGGTGGTTGCTGTTGAAGGTTCTTTCGGCCGTGTTGGAATCGACACTGGCTCCGGCTTCTAGCAGTACTTTTGCAGTATTTGCAGAGCCCTGAGAAACAGCGTAACTGAGGGCAGTCTGTTCTCTTTCATCCTTTCCATCAGTGGAGGCGCCAGCCTTTAAAAGCATTTTTGCCAGACTACTGTCATCTTTAAGTGCTGCCATGTGCAAAAAGTTGCGCTGGTTCCTGTAGCTTCTTGCCTCTTCTTTCAGCAGCATCTTCAATATGTGACTGTGGTTATTCTGTGCAGCCAAATCAAGTGGTGTCTTGCCTTCCGTATCCAAACTGTACATATAAGCACCACATCGGAGAAGCACTTTCACTGCATCACCATGGCCTTTCTCAGCAGCCCTGTGCAGTGGTGTTCTTCCTTTCTTGTCCTTCACATCTGTCTTTGCACCTTTGCTGATCAAATATTCCATTATCGTTAGATGTCCATTAGTGGCTGCAACATGCAGAAGTGTTTCACTTGAAGAGTTTAGTGCATTAATATCATTGTCTTTCAATGTTTTCTCTAACTCAGAAAGATAGCCTTTAGCAACTGCATCAAAGATGCCAGCATCAGTGTGATCTTTTCTAGGTTTTGCTGCCCTTGAAAGTTGAGTTTCTTTTCCTTTCTTCTTAATAGCCCATTCTTGCTTTTTTCTTCTATGACTGTCTTTTTTTTTCTGATGCCCTTCACTGCTATTTTCAAACCAAACCTTGTCTTTTTCGAGTAAATATCCTACCAATTGTCTTCTAGCATCTCCAATGCTTTCATTTACTTCACTGACATATTTTCTCATCTTGCTGTAAAGTTTTGGCTCCACTTGCTTTAAACATGGATAAAAAAAGAGCCTGCAGGCTCGTTCACCTTGAGAAATTAGTATGTCTAAAACTCGAGAGTTCTTTTCTGTTCGTGTCCTGTAGAAACTCATGACCATCTGTTTTTCTGGGGTAAAAATACCATTGTCTATCAGCCAGTTCAGAAGATGGTCTGGGTCGTTTATGCCTTCAGCTAGCTCTTCTTTTTTAGTTCTTAGGACTTCAATTGCGTATGGATTTGTAAACAGGCTAGTTGAATGCATGATCATGTTGCTAATCAAAAAGTGAATTGAGCTATTGTTTGTTTGAAGTTAAATATGAAAGCAAAGCAGGGTCACATCATTTCACACATTCTTTTCATAGAACTATGAACCAGCAACCATTGTAGTTCAGTGACAAATCTTTAAAGAATGAGCAAGAAATCAAAACTCCCTCACCTTTGGTTTTCTAGTTGTTAGAAGCCCTTTGATCTTCTCTGTTCTTCCTTAGCAGCAAGTGAAGTTTAATAACAAAACAAAAATCCGTGATACGTAAAGATATTCCACTTGGAAGACTTCTAGATTTTTTATGCATAATTAGGAAGAAAATAATTCTTTTGTGAATCTGATACTTGAAGCGAAGATATTTATCAAGGTCCTCTGTTCCTCTGGCCAAGCTGTTTTTTGTAGGTGCCTAAATGACCAGTCTATTATACATGACAAAAGAAAATTCACAGCATAGTTACTGTTGCCATGATTACATACCTTGTATGATCTTAAATGAAAGAGTACACATTGCCAGCTATGTAGATGAAAGCCCTATAATGTAATGAAATAAAAACATAAAGACCTAGATAAAAATAAACTGTGTAAGTGGCTAGTTATAAAAAGCGATCCAGCCTTTCTAATATGAGTTACAACTTCAGTCTATGAGGTATATTTAACTTAAAGGCTATTTAGCTTGCCATGGAGTCTGTCTGGAACTTAATTCTTTTACATGAAGTGGATCAAGGCATGTGATTCAGTATGCAACATTTAAAGTATAATTAAATAGAGCTTCAAATCTGTGAATATGTATAGTCTTCAGTATGGGTGTGGGACCTCTGAATTGAACTGTAATTAATTTAACTTATTGGTGTTAAAATTCCTTGTGGAGAGAAGGAAATAAAATAATAATAATCTACACATTTTGAAACCAGTTGAGAGAGAAATTGAGATTACAGAGTTCTGTAAGAGCTGGAAGTAAAATGAGCTGAAAAGCTGAAAACTTGACCTTATTTAAGCAAATGGGGAATTTTGCCATCTGTTTCTTAGTTCAGTGCCCTTTCTGTTGGGTCCTGCTGCCTTTGCATACATACTATTTTCTTTACTAGTATGTACAATGTGACTGATAAGATTTTTAATTTTTTTCTGTTGACTTTAGTTTTATAAGTAAGATCGCAAAGCTTATTCTATTAAAAAAAAAAAAAGATTTATTGAAGAAATAGCCAGGAAAGGCAAGACTTTGAATATATATTTTGAAAGCCAGCCAGTTTCCAAGTCAGCAAATTTGACAGCCAGTTTAAGAGCCCAATAATTCCTCTGAAATGTGAAGAAGGGCACTACACCAAGAATAGCAAAACCTTTGTAATTTAGTTAATGATTGTTAACACATAACATGGAGAACTATGGTTTATTATAGGGAGTCAGAAGGTCTGAACTGTGTTCCCAAACCTGGTAATGACTCAGTCTGTGATCTGCAAATTATTTAGTCTTCAGATTTGACTTAACGAAGTACTGAAGATCTATCCGTGTCTTAAGTAAATTAATAGTCCGTACTTAAAGTTTGATCAAATGGGATCTTCATGTCATCATTATTACTGTTCCTATGCAAAATAGAGAGTGCAATACTTGATTACCTTCACAGGAGGGTTTTGAGTTCTGGCAATGGAAAATGTTATCTGAGTGCTGAGCAATATTGTTAATACAGAGAGCACAAGAATTTTTGGAACTCCTGAAAAATTTAAAAACAGAAATTGTGATATTCTTTAAGAGTCTGTTAGTATGGCAGTAATTTCCTAGTGTGCTGAATACAGAAATTTTACTAGTAAGCACTACAAATGAAAGGGCGCAGTACTCCTAACCGGCCTTGAGGAGGAACATTTGAACAATATATGCAGGCAGCATCTCTTTCAGAGCCACTGTATTTTGGGGAAATAATATGCAGCAAATTACTTGTTACTAGACGCAAATCACGGTCTTCAAAATACAGTTATGAATTTTTTTTTTAAAAAGTTCTTCATTATATGTATGTGACTTATGAGGCAATTCTGTCTTAAACCAAGAATCACATTTGACAAGCAAATTTTGGAAGCTTGTTGTATGGACTCATTTTTAGAAATTATGTTTTAAAAGCCTTTATTTTTTAATTAGCATTTTACCTACTTTTAGAATTAAGCCTTTGTTCCAACAATGACTTCACAAAAAGATTAAAAACCCAAACAGTTGTGAAGAAAAGAGATTCAGAATTGGCTATTTGATGCATGCTTTTGGTTTATATCTTTCAACTTATTAACTTTATTTATTTGACATATAAATGTTTTAGAGAAGGGAAAAATATTAAGGTTCCACACCTCTTTAATTAAGTGCATGAGACCACAAATGTGTGGGATCACCAGGAAGCTCTTCGTTAAAAATAAGAATGGCAAAATTTAATATTACTAAAGATCTAAGAAAAGAAATAAGTTGGAGAGAGGAAGAGGCAAATCTTTGGCTGCCTTTGTTATCTTTTTCATTTATTTGTTCTCTGGGGGGCATAAGGTGATTTTTTTTCTTGCTACGTACTTCACAGGCCACTTTTATTTCTCCTCATTTCTTTAGCTCCATCTATCCAAGGACTGTTCCTTATTAGGTTATTTTGAAAAGAAAATGATGGGGTTTGCTTTTGTCTTCTTGTCAGATAGCACTTGAGAATCTTTGTGTTCAGCAGTATGGATATATAACAGATCAGCTTATATGCATTGAGGAAATTTTATGTTTTACTCTAGAAGGACATAGTAAAAAAATCTCATTGGTACTAGTGCAGGTTCAGCTTCCATTGTGTCATCAGAGAAACTTTATGCTGTAGGTGTGCTGATTGTATTTTAATTGTGTGTTGTCAAGAAGCCTGTAGTGAGTAGATTGTTGTGACATAGAAATACTGAAAATGTTCACATAGACCACTTAAGCTCTAATACCATTGTTAAATGCAGAAGTAAGACCCTCTGTATACATAGGATTACCTTAATTCAGATAGATCTATGTATACTTGGCACTGACTTTATGGGAGGATATCAGCTGAAAACAACATGGTAGAGTTTAGAGCAGACCTTAAAAAGGGCAGGTGATGCTATTGATAGGAAAGATCTCAGGTTTGGCCTCTGCTGAGTAAGTGTCCATATAGGGAGCATCTGCTCACTGTTTTAACCCAGCTGTAGCTGGTCTGAGCTTGAGCCAGTTATTTCTGACACGCAATCTCAGTTTTGCTACTAACTTGTGTCCTTGGGCAAATCACTTAATCTCTGTGCCCTGTTTACACAAGCATTAAAAAAGGAAATTTTTTTCTACCTGACAGACATGTCCTAAGTGTTTATTAATGTTGGTGCAGTGCTTTGAAGTTTTGAAGTGCTTTGAAGTTTTTGTCCTTTGAAGTATTGTTTTCTGACTTCTCAAAGATGAACATTTATTTCTTAAATTAACACGTGCCCATGTTTTCTAGCTTATTGTATGTTGCTATGTCATCATCAAATATACATTTAATTTTCTCTATTTTAATTTCTAAAAGATGAAAGCAACCCAAACTACACCTTGCATGTTGTTAAATGAACATGTGAGGTGATGTGGCCATGGGAGTGAGAAACCTGTAGAGGTCACCATTTCTCCACCGAGGCTTTCCCACTCTGCGCCTGGAGCCTGCAGCTGCGGTTACTGTCTTCTGCTGAAACTGCATGTAATGCAACTGAATGACTTCCAGTAACTTCTTATGTTCTCTAGGGTATTTTCTTGATAAAATTGAGGGAAAGCCAAACATTAATAACACGGTTTCACTCACCGTGATATTTTTATGTTTCCCAATGTGTACTTTAATTTCATTTAAGACAACTGTTTGCAGTACTGCCAACTGTTTATTGGGGACATATCTCGCTCTAGAATTAACTAGTCTGTAAGAGATAATAAAGCCAACGTCATTATCTAAACATCATGAGGGATGGAGAAGTATATCTGGGTAATCAAGGCATTCTCATTCATTAATAAACATGGCTGAGGAATAAAGCTTTGTTTTGGATAACCAGAAATCTAAGTGGGGCCTAGCTGGTTGAGGTTAACTATATTTAGGTATAGCTAGATTGAGGAACAGCAGTGTTAGAAGTGTTCATGATGATGATTAGAGTGTACTTGACTTATTATAACACTGGAAGAGAAGCTGACTACTCAGAATGTCTGCAAGAGAGACAAAATGTAGTGCTTAGTTTTGCCTAAAGATTAACTGCAGTAAATTAGAGAAGTCAAAAGGGGAGCTTTGGCACTGAGTGATCTTGTTTGTGTTAGTCATACTTCTGTAGAGAGTAGGCTTGGGGCCTTCCTGGTGCTGAGAAATCTCTGCCCTGGCTGGTATTTAAATATGGGGTGTTCCCTAGAGTAGTGCCATCCTCTGAGTGGTACTGGCACACACAGAAGAGTATCATCAGGGGCCTGAGCGGGGGCCTGCTGGAGCGAGGGGAAAGCTGATCTGTCCAGTCGCATGTTTTGCATCTCAGAGTAGCACACTGGGCTCCCATCTTACCCTCTCTGCCACTTATGCGTTGGCAGGGCATAACCACCCCTGCAGAGTCCTGTGCCAGGTCCTATACTTGAAAGAGGCACCTTGCAGAAGGCACAGCTTCCCAGCTTTGCCCACTATTCATGGATGCTTTCAAAATGCTAAGTAATAATACAACAGCTGATATAATAATTCAGGTGTATTATTCTATTTCCAATACAAGTCACAATGTTATTCCAACACTATAAGACTATTTCCTCAACTATAAACAAATGAAGATCTTGTTAAGGAGTGCACCTGTACAATGCAAAATGTTCTTTTTTCTGAAGATTAGTGTGTACTTTTATGAAGTTCCCAACCTGGGGTAATTGTAAATGGATAATACACATCCGCAAAGTGCCACTGATGGCTGTAACCGCTGATAGAGCAGGCTGTCTGGATCGAATGCGGCTTAATGTACGTAACTCAGCCAAAGTAAATATTAGGATTGTTTTTCAGTTTACCATGCATGTAT